TGAGCAAATCCTTTTCTTTTCTTTCTTTTTTTTTCCAGAGCAAATTCTTTTCACTTGTGTCTCTAGTTCTTTCAGAATTCCAACAGATGGAATCTGCTCCTAAAGAATGCTGTATCTTTTCGACGTTCAGAAAGAAAGAAAAATGTAGTGGTATAGCTTGTGTGGAACCTGTGAATGGCTGTGTTTTATACAAAAGTCAATATATGGGTAGTGATTTGCAGGAGAAACGTGGAGAGAATAATGTGGCTGGGGAAGTGAGCTAAGACAACAGTTGGCACAGTTTTATCCATTTATTGGCTCTGTAGTGCGTAAGGAGTGTCACTGGAGGCCTAAGGTATAGGCAAGGGTAAAAGCGAAGCAGAGGTAAGAAATCTAAAGGGGGGAGAGAGAAAGAAAAAGAGCCTATGGTTTCAGGACCATTTCCTCCTGGGGTACTGGGGAGAAGGACAGGGCGAAAAGTGAAGCACAGAGAAAACACTGTGAAAGTGTCCCTTGTCGTAGTCTTCATAACCTCATAATATTCATTCTCTGACATGAGATATTAGACTAAGTTTTGTCTGTACATAACTGTGCAGTGTAAGACATAATTTATGCCTTTTTCAATAGTCATCGGACTTGTGATTTTAAGTGTACTTTAGGATACTGTCTCCTTTATCAAAGCTCTTTACTTTTTCTTATTTATGCGTCTCAGTTTTATATTGGTGGAGAGAGGCTTCCTACTGTCGTTTTTGTCTGTAACTAGATCTTGTGTTTCTGGTTTCCCTTTTGAGGGGAATAATTTGCTTTCTGGCACCCTTATTTTCCTTGGTTTTTAAGTCTCTTGAGAGTTCTGTATAAATAAGAATAAATTTTAGAAAAGGATTTTATTTGAGTACTGAAAAATAGAATCTTACAACGTTGGAAGGGATATTGAAAATTCCTTACCTTTAGAAAATGTAATCTGCCAGAAAGAGAAAATGAGCTGTTTTTAAAGACTTCCACCGAAGGAATTTCCATACCTCTTTGATGTCTCATTTAGGGAATTCTTTCTTATATCACACCTAAAATCCCTTTGCTGTAACCAGTGTTTAAATTCTTTAGCATTGAAAAACACTTACCTAGCATCTGCTTACTCGTACTGTACATTATGTACTCGGGCACCAAATCTTGCTGTCTAACATATGGCCACATGTTAAAGGTCTGCAAAACTCAGAACAAAAATGTCGCAAACACACAAGTAGTAAGAGCAAGTGAATTTGAGAGTTGTGGAGGATGTGAGTAGCTGTGAGATACATATCCAGCCACTGTGAGGCCCGTGAATTCATCACCATTTTATCTTTTTTTTTTTTTTTTTTGAGACAGAGCCTCAAGCTGTCCCCCTGGGTAGAGTGCCGTGGCATTACAGCTCACAGCAACCTCCAACTCCTGGGCTCAAGCGAGTCTCCTGCCTCCGCCTCCCAAGTAGCTGGGACCACAGGCGCAACGCCTGGCTATTTTTTGGTTGCAGCCGTCGTTGTTTGGCGGGTCGGGCTGGGGATTCGAACCCGCCACCTTAGGTGTACATGGCTGGCGCCTTAGCAGGTTGAGCTATAGGCGCCGAGCCCATCACCATTTTATCATTACTGCTTTTGCTTATTCTGACTTCAGCTTGAAAATAATTGGCTATCATCCTCCCTGTAAAACTATGTTATTGTCACTTCTTACCTTCTTTTAAAGACTGCAATGGTTCCTCGCTTCTTTTTTTGGAGGTTTTATTTTTTTATCCTATTAATCATCTTTGAGTGTCTTCTGAATCTCTTCCAAGTTTCATTTTTCCTCTGTTTCTTTTCAGTGTAGAAGTACAAAACCAGATACAGTGCCCTGAGAGTATCTGAGCACTTTCGAGTATCCTGGGAGGAAGATTTTACTCAACAGTCCTGCAAGTGCCTGAGTCCACTTCATATAACCTTAGGTTATATTTGCTTTCTAAAAATGGAGTCATATGTTGCAGACTAGCTGTCAGATTTTTATCTCTTGTGACCTTGATCTTTTCCTCTTATGTTTATTTATAGCTTGTACATTCATCATCTTTTATTTATGGAATTTCTTTTTCTTGGCTGGATATATTGCTTTGCACTGTCCTCATTGCTTCCCCCTTATTACTTTACCACTTACCCCATGTCATTTCTATTTATGTCTTTCAATATGGCCAACCCATAGACTTCACATTGTCTGTGCTAGTCAAGTCAGTAATGCAAACTTTATTTATCTATTTTTGTTTTTGAGACAGAGTCTCACTATGACACCTTCCCTAGAGTGCTGTGGTGCCACAGCTCACAGCAACCTCAAACTCTTGGGCTTAAGTGATTCTCTTGCCTCAGCCTCCTAAGTAGCTGGGACTAGAGGCGTCAGCCACAACGCCCTGCTATTTTTTAACTGTAGTTGTCATTACTGTTTGGCAGGCCCAGGCTGGGCTCAAACCTACCACCTCTGGTATAGGTGGCTGGCGCCCTAGTCACTTGAGCTACAGGTGCTGAGCCTTTTTTTTTTTTTTTTTTTTAAGACCGTCTCATTTTGTTGCCCTCAGTAGAGTGCAATGGTGTCATAGCCCACAGCATCCTGAAAGTCTTGGGTTCAAGTGATCCTCTTGCCTCAGCCTCCCAAGTAGCTGCGACTATAGCCACTTGCCACAGTGCCTGGCTATTTTTATTTTTTTGAGACAGAGCCTCAAGTTGTTGCCCTAGGTAGAGTGCCATGGCATCAGAGCTCACAGCAATCTCCAATTCCTGGGCTTAAGCAATTCTTTTGCCTCAGCTTCCTAAGTAGCTGGGACCACAAGTGCCTGCCCCAACACCTGACTGTTTTTTAGTTGTAATTGTCATTGTTGTTTGGCAGGCCCAGACTGGATACCTACCAACCCTCCAGCTCTGGTGTATGTGGCTGGTGCCTTAGCCTCTTGAGCTACAGGCACAAAGCCAGTGGCTATTTTTAGGTACTGGGTCTGACTCTTGCTCAGGCTGGTCTTGAACTCCTAAGCTGAAGCATTCTACTCGACTGGGCCTCCTGGAGTGCTAGGATTACAGGCATGAGCCACGGGCCAGCCCAGTAATGCAGACATTAAAAAAAAAAAAAAAAGATGTCGAGAGTGTCCTAGAAACAATGGCAGAGCACAATTTGCTGATATTTCTCGAAATGTACTTTGATGAGTGGCCAGGCTGAGTGGTAAAGAGGGTCTGTGTTTCCCTCGCTCTGTATTTATTATCCTCCTGGGGTCCACCCTCCACTCTCAGAATTTGATATCTGCCTCTCCACACAGCAGAAAGCAGTTTATCTTGTACACTGTTATCAGATTTCATCTTTTTTTTTTTTTTTTTTTTTTTTTTTTGAGACAGAGCCTCAAGCTATTGCCCTGAGTAGAGTGCTGTGGTTTCACAACTCAAAGCAAACTCCGACTCCTGGGCTTAAGTGATTCTCTTGCCTCAGCCTCCCGGGTAGCTGGGACTACAGGTGCCTGCCACAACACCTGGCTACTTTTTGGTTGTAGTTGTCATTGTTTGGCAGGCCCGGGCCGGATTCGAACCCACCAGCTCTGGTGTATGTGGCTGGCGCCTTAGCTACTTGAGCTACAGGCACCAAGCCTAGATTTCGTCTTAATTAATGCCTTGTACATATCTCTCCCTGCTCATAACTTTCTGTGGCTCCCCAGTACCTGCTGAATTAAATGGAAATTTTCTAGTGTAGTATTCAAGGCACTTTTTGGTCTCAGTCTTCTTCCAGTTTGATTGCTTATAACTATATTATGTTTCATATAAAATTAACCACTTACCTGGATATCTCCTACACTTTCCCAGGCCTTGATTTGTTTTTATTATTTGCTCTACTTTGAACACTGAAGCTTTTCCATCTAATTTCTCCAAGCATCATTTAAGTTTAATTTCTTTCATGTTCTTTTCTTTCTAGATTTCTCCAGTTAGATATTATCTTTCCTTTCCATCCCAAAGGAGTAAAGTTTTATACTCCTTTGGGTACTTACTACACATGTATTCTGTCTCATGTTATAGCTACTTGTAGGCTTTTTTTTTTTTTTTTTGAGACAGTCTCACTTTGTTGCCCTCGGTAGAGTGCTATGGCATCATAGCGCACAGCAACCTCAAACTCTTGGGTTCACATGATCCTCGTGATCCTCTTACCCTCCCAGTAGCTGGGACTGTAGGTACCCTCTATAAAGCCTGGCTATTTTTAGAGACAGAGTCTCACTCTTGTTCAGGCTGGTCTCAGACTCCTAAGCTTAGGCATCCAACCTTGTTCTCCCAGAGTGCTGGGATTATAGGTGACAGCCACCACACCCGGCCTTGTGTGCTTTTCTTATCCTTAAGAACAGTCTCTTCCTCATCTTAGTAACTTTGAGTGTACCTAGCATATATTTGTATAAGATTTAATAGACTTCAGTTTCTTCTTACAGTATTTATGGGTATGTGCCAAAGAGATGAATTAGATCAGTTTGTGCACATTGTATGATGCAATTGATTTAAATTCTAGTATAAGCTCCTTATCTAGCTGTAGATGAGGAGCAGTTTGTGGACTAGCTGCATATCTACAGTTTGAGGAACATTGTCCTGGTCTAACTTTTTTCCTCTTTAAAAAAATCTAGCGGCTCGGCACCTATAGCTCAACCGGCTAAGGCGCCAGCCACGTACACCTAAGGTGGTGGGTTCGAATCCCCAGCCCGGACCCGCCAAACAACAATGACGGCTGCAACCAAAAAATAGCCGGGCGTTGTGGCGGGCGCCTGTAGTCCCAGCTACTTGGGAGGCGGAGGCAGGAGACTCGCTTGAGCCCAGGAGTTGGAGGTTGCTGTGAGCTGTGATGCCACAGCACTCTACCCAGGGGGATAGCTTGAGGCTCTGTCTCAAAAAAAAAAAAAAAAAAATCTAAAAGTAGTTAAAGGTGCATAGTTATTTACTGTGTTAGTTGTTACTTGATTGTTTATTTAGAGTCGTACTCTACAAGCCCTTATATAATTAACTTTTATTATTTTCTAGAAACTACCCAACTCTGGCCAATATTGAAAGGAAGAAAAAGTTAAAACTTGAAAAGGAAAAGAGTGGAGCAGTATTGACGACAACACAGTATGGGTAAGTTCCTTACAATTGCTTGCATCTTCAATGCTTGTTTTAACAACATATCAGTAACTATGGGATACAGTAAAAGCAGTAGTAAGAGTTCATAGCAGTAAGTGCCTCCATCAAAAAAGCAGAAAAGTTTCTAGGCGTGGTGGCTCACGCCTGCAATCCTAGCACTCTTGGAGGCCAAGGATGGTGGATTGCTTGAGCTCCTGGGTTCAAAACCAGCCAGAGCAAGGACCCCCACCCCCCATCTCTACTGAAAATAATAAAAACTGAGGCAAGAGTATCACTTGAGTGTCGCAGCCCCTATGGCCCTGGTCTCGATTGCCATAGGAAGGAACCAGGCATGATGCGGAATAGAAGTACAAGCTTGCAGTAGGCGGGCTAACCTTGATTGCTGGGTAGCCCTGAGCAACCTCTGCAGTAGCCTTTTATTGAGACAGTACAAGACAGGTGAGGGGAGTATTAGATAATGATTGCGTGTCTAAGGATCGCCATGGGCTCGGCCTCTTTCTCCCAAGGAGCACCTGCAGACGAATTGCCTGAGGGACCATCTCCCAGCCACAAATCATCTTGCTCAGAGGTCCTCTGGCTCTTGGTGTCCTCTACACTTGAGCCCAAGGGTTGGAAATTGCTGTGAGCTATGTTGTTGCCATGGCACTTTACTCAGAGACTCTGTCTCAAAAAAAATAAAGGGTAGCACCTGTAGCTCAGTGGGGAGGGTATGGTCACATACACCAAGGATGGTGGGTTCGACCCTGGCCTGGGCTAGCTAAAGCAGCAATAGCAATTGCAACAAAAAAATAAGCTGAGCGTTGTGGTGGGTGCCTGTAGTCCCAGCTACTTGGGAGGCTGAGGCAAGAGAATCGTTTAAGCCCAAGAATTTGAGGAGGTTGTGAGCTGTGACGCCATGGCACTCTACCCAGAGCGACAGCTTGAGACTCTATCTTAAAAAAAAAAAAAGCTTCAACTAAACAACCTAACGATACATCTCAAAGAACTAGAAAAATGAGCAAACCAAATCCAAAATTGTTGGAAGAACAATAATAAAGATCAGAGCAGAAATAAATGAAATTGAAACAAAAGAAATACAGAAGATCAATGAAATGAAAAATTGATTTTTTGAAAAGATAAACAAATTGACACATCTTTAGCCAGACTAAGCAAGAGAAAAAAGGAGAAGACCCAAATAAATAAAATTGGAGGTGAAAAAGGAGACATTACACTCGATGCTGCAGAAATCCAAAGGATGATTAGAGACTGCTGTGAGCAGCTATGTGCTGATGAACTGGAAAACCATGAAGAAATGAGTAAATTCCTAGTCACATACAGCCGACTAAGACTGAACCTGGAAATAATCAAAATTCTGCATAAACCAATAATAAATTAAAAGATAAAAGCAGTAATAAAAATATCTCCCATCAAAGAAAAGCCCAGGACCCGATGGCTTCACTGCTGAATTCTACCAAGTATTCAAAGAAGAATTAATACCAGTCTTACTTCAGGTAATCCAAAAAAGCAAGAAAGAGGGAATACTTCTAAACTCATTGTATATAAGGCCTGTATTACCTTGATACCAAAACTGGACAAAGACACAAGAAAAGGAAGCTATAGGCCCATATGTCTGATGAACACAGATGCAGAAATTCCAAAAAAATGCTAGCAAACCAAATTCAACAGCATATTAAAAAGATTATTCATCATGATCAAGTGGGCGTCATCCCAGGGATGCAAGATGATTCACCATATGCAAATCAATCAATGTAATGATACATCATCTTAACAGAAAGAAGGACAAAAATCATATGGTTATTTCAATTGATGTTAAAAAAGCATTCAGTAAAATTGAACATCCCTTCTTGATAAAAACTCTTAAAATACTGGGTATGAAAGGAACTTATCTAAACCTGATAAAACCCATATATGACAGACCCACAGAGAGTGTCATACTGAATAGGAGAAAACCCGAAAGCCTTTCCTTTAAGATCTGGAACCAAGACAAGGATTTCTACTTTCACCATAGGAATGTTATTCAACGTAATACTGGTAGTTCTAGCTAGAGCAGTCACACAAGAGAAAGAAATAAAGGGTATCCACATTCAGAAGGAAGAAGTCACATTATCCTTGTTTGTAGACAACATAATCTTAAGTTATGTAGAAAAACCTAAAGACTCCACACATAGACACACATGCAAAAACTATTAAAACAAGTAAACAAGTTCAGTAAAGTTTCAGTATACAAAACCAATATTAAAAAATCAGTAGCACTTCTATATGCCAGCAGTAAACAATCTGAAAAAGAAACCAAGAAGGTAATCCCATTTACAATAACTTATTTTACAAATAAAATAAAATACCTAGGAATAAACTTAACCAAAGAAGTGAAAGATCTCTATAAGTAAAACTGTAAAGCAGGGCTTGGTGCCTGTAGCTCAGCTGCTAGGGCGCCAGCCACATATACCGGAGCTGGCAGGTTTGAACCCAGCCCAGGTCTGCCAAACAAAAAAATAACTGAGCATTGTGGCAGGCACCTGTAGTCCCAGCTACTTGGGAGGATAAGGCAAGAGAATTGTTTAAGCCCAAGAATTTGAGGTTACTATGAGTTGTGACACCACGGCACTCTACTGAGGGTGACAGTGAGACTCTGTCTCAAAACAAAACAAACAAACAAACAAAAAAACCATAAAGCATTGGTGAAAGAAGTTAAAGAGGACACACAAAAATGAAAAGTTATTCCATACTTCTTGATTAGAAGAATCAATATTGTTAAAATGTTCATACTACCCAAAGCAATCTATAGATTTAAAGTAACCTCCATCAAAGTACCAGTGACATTGTTCAAAGAAATAAAAAAAAAAATGCTAAAGTTTAAATAGAATCACAACAAACCCAGCATAGCCAAAGCCATCCTAAGCAAAAAGAACAAAACTGAAGGAATCATGCTACTTGATTCAAATTATATTATAGAACTATAGTAATCAAAATAGCATGGCACTGCAGTAAAAACAAACACATAGACCAGTGGAATAAAATAGAGAACTCACTATAAATCCACTTTATTTTTTGGTTTTTCTTGTTTTGAGACAGAGTCTCACTTTGTTGCCTTTGGTAGAGTGTTGTGGCATCATAGCTCACAACAACCTCAAACTTTTGGGCTCAAGTGATCCTCTTGCCTTAGCCTCCCAAGTAGCTGGGTGCCCACCACAATACTGGGCTATTTTTCAAGAACAGAGTCTTACTCTTGCATAGGCTGTCCTCAAATTCCTCAGCTCTGGCAGTCCACCCACCTCAGCCTCCCAGAGTGCTAGGATTACAAGCATGAGCCACCAGGCCCGGCCCATTCCATATATCTTTTGTGAACTTATCTTCGACAAAGATGCCAACAACATACAGTGGGGAAAGAGCAGTTTCTTCAATAGTGCGGGAAAACTGGTTGTCTATATGCAGAAGAATGAAAGTGGACTCATTTCTTGCCATATACAAAACATCAAGTCAAAATGAATTAAAGACTTAAATCTAAGACCTGAAACTATGAAACTACTAAAAGAAAACATTGGCAGAAGGCTTTAGAACCTTGGTCTGGGTAAGGATTTCTTGGATAATATCCCCAAAGTACAGGTAACCAAACCAAAATTGGACAGAAGGAATCAAGCTAGAAAACTTAAGCACATCAAATGAAATAATAAAGGGAATAGACAACCCACAGAATGGGGGAAATATTTGTAAACTACCCATTTAGTAAGGGAATAATAACTAGAATATATAAGTAGCTCCAACAACTCAGGAAGAAAAATATGCGTTAAGAATGCACAAACGATCTGAATAAATACTTCTTTTTCTTTTGTTTGAGACAGAGTCAGTATGTCGCCCTGGGTAGAGTGCCAAGGCATAACAGCTTACAGCAACCTCCAACTCTTGGGTTTAAGCAATTCTCTTGCCTAAGCCTCCTGAGTAGCTGGGACTAGAGGTGCCTGCCACAATGCCCAGCTATTTTTGGTTGCAATTGTCATTGTTGTTTTAGCAGTCCCTGGCTGGGTTCAAATTCACCAGCTCTGGTGTATGTGGCTGGCGCTCTACTCACTGAGCTACTGTGGGCACCAAGCCTGAATAGACATTTCTTAAAAAAAGACATATAAATGACCAATAGGTATATGAAAAAATGGTTGACATCATTAGTCATCAGACAAATGCAGATTGAAACTACAGTGAAATGTCATCTCACCTCAGTTAAAATGGCTTTTATCCAAAAAAGACAGGCAAGGCTAGGCTCAGTGGCCCACTGTAGTCCTAGCACTCTGGGAGGCTGAGGTGGGTGGATTGCTTAGCACAGGAGTTTGAGACCCACCTGAGGAAGGGGAGACTCCATCTTTAAAAATAAGTGGAGCATTGTAACAGGTGCCTGTAGTACAAGTTATTAGGGAGGCTGAGGCAACAGAATCACTTGAGCCCAAGAGTTTGAGGTTGCTGTGAGCTATGACACCAGAACACTCTACCCAGGTAACAAAGTGTCTCCAAAAAAAAGAAAAATAATGACAGGCAATAATAAATGATGGCGAGGATGTGGATAAAGGGGAACAAAGGGGAACCCTCATACCCTGTTGATGAGAAGTAAATGGAGAGCAAGCAGTATGGCAGTTCCTCAAAAAACAGGATATATTCCCACTGCTGGGTGTATATCCAAAGGAGGGGAAATCAGT